ATCATTATTTTATAGATATTTACTTTCTATTGAGCCCTTGGCATCAGCTCCTCTTTTTTCCCTCCCTCCCCACCCGTGTGACCCCTTGATAAATTATAAATTATTATTTTCATAACTTACACCAACCGCTGTGTCTCTTCTCCCACGGTTTCTGTTGTTCGTCACCCTGGCGGGGTGTGTATGGTTATATGTCAATCATTGCAATCGGTTCCTCCTGTCTCCCCTTCTCTTCCCACTTTCCCCCTACCCTTCTGGTATCAATACTCCCATTCCTGTTCCAGGATTCCATGTGTCCTGAGCTCTTATCTCTTATATTTACTGTGCATATGCTCCAGTCTAGCCCATAGTGACAGGCAGGACTGAGGGCATGATGGTGGGGGATGAGGAAGCCTAAAGGAACCAGAGGAATATTGTGTGTTTCATTGGTGCTTTACTGCACCCTGGTAGACTCATCCCTTCCCTGTGACCCCTCTGTGAGGGGATGTCCCATTGTCTATCCCATTGTTTTGGGTCTCAGCACCAACCCCCTCACTCTCAATAATATGTTTTGTTTTGTTTAGTTGTTTGTTTGGGGTCTTCTGACACCTGTTACTGGGTCCTGGGTCCTGACTACACCTCATAATCGCACAGGCTGGTGTGCTTCTTCATGTGAGCTTGTTGCTTCTGAGATAGATGGCCTCTTGTTTAATTTCAAGCCTTTAAGACCCCAGATGCTATGTCTTTTGATAGCCAGGTACCATCAGCTTTCTTCACCACATTTGCTTATGCACCCACTTTGCCTTCACGATTGTGCCGGGAGGGTGAGCATCACAAAATACCAGTTTGTTAAAACAAAGTATTCTTGCACTGAGGGAGGGCATGAGCAGAGGCCCGAAGTCCATCCATTACCTCAGTGTATTGCCATATAAATATATGTATATAGGCCAATACCTCTATTTTTATGAATTAATGTATTTACATATGCACACACCTATGTGTGTACCTCTATCTACAGTTTTGCTTTCTAGGTCATTTCTCTGTTTCCTTTCACTTTCCTCCTGCCCCACCATCATGCTTGTCCTACTTCTTCCTCTTAGTAATTCCTCTCAGCTAGATTGCTACTGCTTCAACACCCTCAGGATCTCTACATCCTCCTTGTTGATTCTAATTCCCTAGTTGTTCCCCTGTCTATGGCATTGTTTGCTCACCGGTCCCTTTCCCTGCCTCCTTCTCCCTCAAGTCCCTCTAGGATCATCAGTCCTGCTGCTTTCTCCTCGTGCTTGCTTCCCATGCCTATCTTATATGAATAGGCAAACCAACAGCAACAGAGACCAAACAAAAAGAAAACAAAACCCACCCAGGGCGAGATTATTCGTATGTCCTCACCGAATTTGGAGTGTGCACGCAGACCCCACCGTGGCATACCAAAGCTTGAGGGCAGCGTATCCACATGGAGCAATGCATGAAGAGTGGACTACAGGGCCAGCCCCAATCAGAGCCAAACTGACCCCCTCCCTAGAAGTATGTGTGACAGAAGACAACACTAAACCTACAGGTTGGGAGAAGCAACGAAGGGCACATGAAGAAGCACTGTGTCATGAAGTGTCAGTGGGATCAGGGATCAGGCAACAAAGACCCAGAACAAAATATCATTATCGATGTGAACCAGGGGGAGCG